TAAGTAAAGACACCAACTCCACTTTGTTGCAGCTTAGAATAAGAGAAACATTTTTTCTTTCCGCTCGACCTTCTGCGTGAGTGGAAAAAGCCACCCGCTCATGAATATTAATGACGGGGCGGGGGGGGGGGCATGTGGAGTGACGTCACGCGCGTTACACACAAACAGAAATTCTTGGCTCATTATAGTACTGTAGTAATAGCCTTAACAGACTGTAAGGGCAAGTGCTGTTAGCGAACACCCATGAAGGCCTGCACGGCACACGACGGGGTGGGTGGCCAGCACCACGCCCGGCCGCCTTTGTCTCCCCAGTGGCGATGTTTACACACCGCACCAGGTACTAATTTTTTGAGGCTGCGTCGACCTAGGGGAGGCCCGGAACCGGTTCAGATAATCGTCACTGGTGTGGGTGGCCGTGAGCGGGAATCCAACTCGGGTAGCCGGGTTCGTAGCGCGCACCTACCACACACACACGTACAAGGGGTGCATAGAGAGGTATAGTGACCTGCGCCCGTCACCTGTTGCGCTCACCGATGCGCGCCTTGCGGGGTTTCGGTGCAAGTTGGTGGAGGGTGGGAAGGGCGAGGGGGGAGGAGAAGAGGGGAGGGGCCCAACAGTGGGGTGGGGGGGGGGGCTTTTAAGGCACTTTAGCGCCCCTGCCCCACAGAAGCTTCTCGCCACGTTAATTGGAAGCAACAGATACTGTTTCCCCGCTGGTAACACTATGTAACACGATTTTTGTTCCTGGGTAGTAAGTGTTATTTCGTAATTGCTTATGCCTTAAAAGTATAGAAAATGGCTATTATTCCCCAAAAACTTTGCTTTTGTGACCAGGACAGTGATATTTTGAAATTGACCTATTGTCAATGAAAAAACGGGCGAATTTTTGTCTGTTCGTTCACATAAAGTCAGAAAAAACAACATATGAATCAAAATTAACATGTATTTATACTAAAGTAATACAAAAATGACTGCAAAACATTTAAAAGTGAGTAGTTTTTCGAGATTTACGATTATACTGTAAATCACTTTCACGAATCAGCCCCCAAATGTAGTCTCCCATCATGTTCTCGTTATACTGTCCTTGGTAGCAAAGTTCAAAGTCCAGTATATCCTGGTGGAAGCGCTCGCCATGCTCCTCCGAGTACGCTCCCATGTTCTCCTTGAATTTATCAAGATGAGAATCAAGGATATGGACGTTGAGGGACATCCTACAGCCCAATGTGCCATAGTTCTTCACCAGAGCCTCAACCAGCTCCACATAGTTTTCGACCTTGTGATTGCCCAGGAAGCCACGAACCACTGCGGCAAAGCTGTCCCAAGCCACGTTTTCCTTACTAGTGAGCTTCTTGGGGAATTCATTGCACTCCAGGATCTGTGGTCTTGGGGAATTCATTGCACTCCAGGATCTGTGGTCCGACGAAGACACCGGCTTTGACCTTTGCCTCAGACAGCTTAGGGAAGTAGTCTTGAAGGTACTTGAAGGCTGCCGACTCCTTATCTACATCTCTGACAAATTGTTTCATAAGGCCAAATTTGATGTGCAGTGGTGGCATCACCACCTTCCGGGGGTCCACCAGTGGCTCCCACTTGAAGTTGTTCCTCCCCACAGAGAACTCAGTCCGCTGTGGCCAGTCCCGCCTGTGGTAGTGCGCCTTGGTGTCCCTGCTGTCCCAAAGGCAAAGATAGCAGGGAAACTTGTTAAACCGCCTTGGAGACCCATCAGGAATGCCACCATTTTGAAGTCTCTGATGACCTCCCTGCCACACTCATCATACTTCAAGGCGTCCAGCAAGGTCTTGATGCTGTTGTAATCCTCTTTGCACCGAGTGAGCCAGGGGAAGAGACAGGTACTTGTTACCATTATGGAGCAGCATGGCTTTGAGGCTCCTGGATGAGCTGTCATTGAAAAGGCGCCACTCATTCTGGTTACAGGCAATTCTGATTGCCTCGAACAGACTGGTCACATTGTGGCAGAAGCAGAGCCCATCTTGACGGGTGAAGAAGCTGCAAAAAGGTTGGTGACGCTTCATTCTGATCTGCGACTGTTACACTTTCATCCAACAAGTTCCACTGCTTGAGCCTAGACATCAATAGCTCGGCATTGGACTTGGTGAGACCAAGATCTCTGAGCAAGTCGTTGAGGTCTTTTTGGTTGGGGTAGTATGGGTTTCTTTCTTCAGCTCCACCTCTGAAATTGTCGTTTTCCTCGCTCTCTGACTTTCTGCTCTCTTCTAAAGACGGCTGCTTTCTTTCCGGAGGAGTGGGTACGGGGAGCTCATGGCAGTATGACAACGGGGTGATGGATGAAGGAAGGTCCGGATACGTGATAGCAGGTGCATTCTTGCCAGTCCGTTGTTTGGAAGGGTCCACTATGCAGAAGTAGCAGTTGCTTGAGTGGTCAGTGGGTTCCCGCCAAATTCTTGGGATAGCGAACTTCATGGCTCTTTTTTCCCCTCTGTACCATCCTACAAAAATACATTTATTTCACCCATGACTAATGTGTAAGAGATTCTCGCAACATTTTTCATATATGATAGATTTTTTCAACAACATTGAAAATTATAAAACATTTTAAAATTAAAAACTTTAACAATTGTAAAATTTTTGACAAATTTAATAACATAAAATTCTGAGCAACAATTGTCTATCTTACCTTCCAGAGTTTTTTTGCATTGCTCGTATGTGAAATTAGGTGCCCAGGGTTTGTCTTGATCCCCAACAGGCATGCCGAAATATGCATTGTCGGCCTCACACATCTTAGCAGATGCTTTCACAGAGTACTTTTTTGTTCTTGTCTTGATAAATTGGACGCAGACATAGCAAAATGCATCTGCTGGATGCTTGCAGCCTCGTGATGCCATCTCAGAAAAATGCAGATATGTATCCCCTTAGGCAGCTGGAACTAAACTGAACTGGTGGGCTTTAGACCTCTGTATTTATACTACTATTTATATTACTGGAAAGTAAAAAAATTTTCTATAAGTTACTCCAAGTGTACTCAGCACTGAATCTATCTGGAATGTTCTGGAAAATAGGTACATTTCTAAATATCAATGTCCTGGTCACAAAAGCAAAGTTTGTGGGGAATAATAGCCATTTTCTGTACTTTTGAGGCATAAGCAATGAGGAAATCACACTTACTACCCAGAAACTATAAATAATTATAATAAAGAGCAATAATTCCATTAGCAAATATTCTCCACGCACCTCCCCCCACCCCCACTCTCTCCCCCCATCCCTCCTCCTACCTCTCCCCCCACCTCCCTGGAGGTGGGGGGGGGGCGGTCCCTTTGGGGAGGGGGATAATTAATTGCGTCACGTGGGACTACTTTGGTTAGGAGGCGTGTGCACTTGTGTGTATGTAGAGATGTGTGTATGTAGAGATGTGTATGTATATGTTTACACATGTGCGTCTGTGTGTGTATATATAGATACGTGCTATCTTTGGGTGTGCGTGCGTGTGCAGAGAGAGATATAGATTTATAATATATTTATAAAATAACGATTATTATTTCCATTGTCAATCTATGTTTTTGGTTGATATGCTGTTGCGTGTGTATGTGTGACGCGTGTGTGTGTATTTTGGGATGCGGTAACGGAGTGGTTAGTGCCCTCAGCGCGCTCGTGTGAACAGCCTATTAAAGGCTATACGGGGGATCTTTGTCTTTTGTATATAGGTGCAGGTACTATGTGTATAAATAGCGGTGTGTAGGAGTGCGTTGGGATCACAAAGCGATGCAGGTAAGTACGTTGCAAATACTAACACGGACAAAGACGCCCACTCGTAGAGACCATCACATACTGTTGGGGCAAGTGCTGTTAGCGAGAACCTATTATGGCAGGCACGGCGCACGAGTGGGTGGTCTGGCCAACACCACGCTCGGCCGCCTTTGTCTGCCCAGTGCTGACGGTTACATATTACAGCAGGTGCTAATTTAAAGGCTGAGCCGACATGGGCAGACCCAGATCCAGTCGGATATTTCACTGAAGCTGGTTGTGAGAGGGAATCAGACCTGGGACGCCGTTTGTCCTAACGCAGTGCGCTAACCACTACGCCACCGCTCCCAACTACAACAAAGACAACTATCCCCCGTAGAGCCTTTCAAAGACTGTTGGGGCAAGTGCTGGTAGTGAGTAGCACCTATGAAGGCCGGAATGGCACACGAGGGGGTGGGTGGCCAGCACCACGCTGGCCGCCTTATAAACGCTAACATACATCAAGATCGTCAACCATGCTGAATCCACTGCTGGATGAAGGCCTCCCGAAGGCGCCCCTACCGCCTCTCGCGATCGTGCAATTTATGATTATCCACCCAGAACATGCACACGAGCGGGTTGCATCGCTCCATCTCCTCGGTAGACGTTCTCTGGAACGCGATCCATTCCTTGACTACATCCTACTGGAGATCTGTGAAAAAATAGCTTTATAGCTCATCGGATTCCTCCAGTGTAAATAAATATTCTGATTCTGATCATTGTTCTAGGTCACCGTCTATCATCCCTGTGTAGCAAGTGCCCGTCAGAGTGTTGCTCTTCTCTTCATTAACCCCCCCTACCGCCCTCTCTAACCAGATTCTCTCTCTGTCTCGTGCACCTCTTCTCCATCCCTGATGTGACAAGGTTCCAGCCACGACCAGAATCTCAACAAGATCTCAACAACCATCAACCACTACCAAGATCCTAACAAGATCTCAACAACCTTCAACCACGACCAGGATCCTAAAAAGATCTCAACAACCTTCAACCACGACCAGCTACCCAACAATATCTCAACAACCATCAACCACGACCTCAACAAGATCTCAATAACCTTCAACCACGACAACTTTCAACCACAACCTCAACAAGATCTCAATAACCTTCAACCACGATCTCAACAACGTGGCTATCACCACCCCAGCCACAACCACGACGTCCACCATTGCTCCAACCACAACCCCTCTATCCGCACCACCTTAGCCGCAACCACCAACTTAAATTGACCAAAACGACCCACGATGGACACTCCATCCTCCAGTGCCGCCGCGCCCCCGTCGCCTGCCAGCAGCAACTCGAGCTGGGAGGCACCTCCTCCTCTTCCTCACTGCGCACTGGTGCAGGGCTCCTTCTCGTGCCGCGGCTCGGCGCTCAGCTCCGCGCAGAGGGCCGCGTGTTTGGCCACGATGAGCGTCGCCATGGCGTCTGCCATCCTGGGCAACCTCCTCGTTATCGCCTCCGTGTTGCACTTCAGGCGGCTGCAGACTCGCACCAACGCGTTCGCGGTGTCGCTCGCCGTCGCCGACCTACTGGTGGGTCTTCTGGTCATGCCCTTCAAGATGACGCGCTCGGCCTACGGCTGCTGGTTCTACGGGACGGCCTTCTGCGTGGCGCACACGTGCCTGGACATCGCACTGTGCACCGCCTCCATCCTGCACCTCGCCTGCATCGCCTTTGACCGGCACGTGGCCGTGTGCGACCCGTTGCGTTACGCGCAGCGGGTAGCGGCGCGCCACGTCACCGCGATGGTCGCTCTCTCGTGGTGCTGCGGGGCCGTCATCTCGGTGGTGACCGTGTCGCTGGGCTGGAACGTGATCGGAGTGCCCGACGAGGTGGTGGCGGCGTCGTGCGCCGACAGCTGCGACTTCCTGCTGGGAGCGCCCTACGCCGTAAGCTCTTCATTCTGTAGCTTCTTCGGGCCCGCGGCCTTTGTGGTGGTGGCGTATGCGCGGATCCTGCGGGAGGCGCGCCGGCAGGGGAGAGCCATCGCCTGTGAGCAGCAGAGGCATCAGAGGCAACAGGGGAAGCAGCAGCAGCAGCAACAGAATGAAGATCAGCAGCAGGGGCGACAGGAGGATCGGGCTGGAGGAGGACGAGGAGGGGCGAGAAGAGAAATAACGGGAAGTGGAGGAATCGTAGGAAAAAGAGATGAAATTGGAGGACTAGAAGAAAGACGAGGAGGAAGAGCAGAAGGAGTAAGAACTGTTGGAAAAATAGGATTGGAACTCGAAGAAGGAATACCAACAGCAGCAGCAGGAAAATCGACCCGGGCAGTAGGACGGGCGGTGGACGCGAAGAGCGAACGCAACGCCACGAAGACGCTGAGCATCGTGGTGGGCGTCTTCCTCGCCTCGTGGCTTCCCTTCTTCCTCATGAACGTGTCCGACCCTCTCCTCGGCTACTCCATCGACCTACGCGCCTGGGAGGCCGTCACGTGGCTTGGATACGCGAACTCGGCCGCGAACCCCGTCATCTATGGGATGTTTAGCCCGAACTTCAGGGCCGCGTTCAGGGCCATCGCGGCCAGGAGCACTTTTCGGGCCGGCTCGAGAGACGCGCAGCTCGGCTTCTGATGATCATGACCATGATGCTGATGATCATGGCCATGATGCTGATGATCACCATGATGCTGATGATCATCATAATGCTGATGGTCATCATGTTGGTGATCATGATGCTAATGTTCTTGATGATGGTGATGATCATGATGATGCTGATGGTCATCATATTGGTGATCATGATGCTAATTTTCTTGATGATGGTGATGATCATGATGATGCTGATGGCCATCATGTTGGTGATCATGATGCTAATGTTCTTGATGATGGTGATGATCATAATGATGCTGTTGTATATTGGGAGTCCGCGTGTTCTCTCTCTCTCCCTGTAGTGGTTGCGTGGAAATTATTTCTGTTCCTCCGGTTTTGCCCTGCTCATCACACGCTTAGATTATTAGGCTGTGACTATACATGAGCCACTTCGATGATCTATATACAATGAGGGAAAACGTATTTGATCCCCTGCTGATTTTGTACGTTTGCCCACTGACAAAGAAATGATCAGTCTATAATTTTAATGGTAGGTTTACTTGAACAGTGAGAGACAGAATAACAACAAAAAAATCCAGAAAAACGCATGTCAAAAATGTTATAAATTGATTTGCATTTTAATGAGGGAAATAAGTATTTGACCCCTCTGCAAAACATTACTTAGTACTTGGTGGCAAAACCCTTGTTGGCAATCACAGAGGTCAGACGTTTCTTGTAGTTGGCCACCAGGTTTGCACACATCTCAGGAGGGATTTTGTCCCACTCCTCTTTGCAGATCTTCTCCAAGTCATTAAGGTTTCGAGGCTGACGTTTGGCAACTCGAACCTTCAGCTCCCTCCACAGATTTTCTATGGGATTAAGGTCTGGAGACTGGCTAGGCCACTCCAGGACCTTAATGTTCTTCTACTTGAGCCACTCCTTTGTTGCCTTGGCCGTGTGTTTTGGGTCATTGTCATGCTGGAATACCCATCCACGACCCATTTTCAATGCCCTGGCTGAGGGAAGGAGGTTCTCACCCAAGATTTGATGGTACATGGCCCCGTCCATCGTCCCTTTGATACGGTGAAGTTGTCCTGTCCCCTTAGCAGAAAAACACCCCCAAAGCATAATGTTTCCACCTCCATGTTTGACGGTGGGGATGGTGTTCTTGGGGTCATAGGCAGCATTCCTCCTCCTCCAAAGACGGCGAGTTTAGTTGATGCCAAAGAGCTCCATTTTGGTCTCATCTGACCACAACACTTTCACCCAGTTGTCCTCTGAATCATTCAAATGTTCATTGGCAAACTTCAGACAGGCATGTATATGTGCTTTCTTAAGCAAGGGGACCTTGCGGGTGCTGCAGGATTTCAGTCCTTCACGGCGTAGTGTGCTACCAACTGTTTTCTTGGTGACTATGGTTCCAGCTGCCTTGAGATCATTGACAATATCCTCCCATGTAGTTCTGGGCTGATTCCTCACCGTTCTCATGATCATTGCAATTCCACGAGGTGAGATCTTGCATGGAGCCCCAGGCCGAGGGAGATTCACAGTTATTTTGTGTTTCTTCCATTTGCGAATAATCGCACCAACTGTTGTCACCTTCTCACCAAGCTGCTTGGCGATGGTCTTGTAGCCCATTCCAGCCTTGTGTAAGTCTACAATCTTGTCCCTGACATCCTTGGAGAGCTCTTTGGTCTTGGCCATGGTGGAGAGTTTGGAATCTGATTGATTGATTGCTTTTGTGAACAGGTGTCTGTTATACAGGTAACAAGCTGAGATTAGGAGCACTCCCTTTAAGAGTGTGCTCCTAATCGCAGCTCGTTACCTGTATTAAAGACACCTCGGAGCCAGAAACCTTTCTGATTGAGAGGGGGTCAAATACTTATTAACCTTATTAAAATGCAAATCAATTTATACATTTTTTGACATGTGTTTTTCTGGATTTTGTTGTTATTCTGTCTCCCACTGTTCAAATAAACCTACCATTAAAATTATAGACTGATAATTTCTTTGTCAGTGGGCAAACGTACAAAATCAGCAGGGGATCAAAAACTTTTTTCCCTCACTGTATATAAGTTTCACCCTTTCTGGCAATCCTTGTTTGGTGTTTTAACATTTCACCTATTGTTATATTTTGATACTGGCAAGAAAGGTCCCATGTTGTAGCTGCTCACCCCGAGCTATAAATGCCCTGATAGTGCATTGTCTATTTGCTGTTCGCCCTTTTGCATTCTCTGGTCTAACACTTTGAGACTAGATTGAGAGGCTAGGCTGAAAAGAAATCTGTCTTTGGTGTGGAACAATCAGTTTCAAAGACAATGCTTATATTATCGGAGAATGTTTTTTGTTTGCATTTTTACCACAAGTACGTGCGGTGAATGCATGTAGGATTCCTTGGGGGGAAAAAAAGGATGATCTTTGGTGTTTTAACATCTTAACAACTGGTTTATTTCCAGAATGGGTAAAACCTATTGTTATATTGTGACTGATGTTGATAAGGCTTTGGATGTCGAAACCGATCCAGAGTTTTTTTTTTACTTGAGTTGAAACCAACTAAACTTATGCACTCCCAGGCGTCCGTGTGGCGGTTAATGGGATGTGTAAACATTTTATTGGTACGTGGAGAAACATAGATGTGAAGGAGACGTCGTCTGATCGTGTATTTTGTTCAATAAAATAGTAATATTAAAACAAACTTTTTTAAAAACACGCTTTAGTGAAATGCAATGTACGAGTAATGGCAGAACTCCACGACTCCAGGAAGTGGCCCCGAAGCTTGCCATAATGTAAGGGGCCGTGGCCAAATACAGCCAACGTCAGTTGATCGTGGACAATTAGACCCAAGCTGAAACATAACATGTAAAATAGAATGTTTAAAAATATATATGATAGAATATAGTATTGTCATCAGTATGACATAAGTATACCAAGTTTGCAGTCGATACCACATTGGTAAGTGGGTTAAAATTGAGTTACAAAATTTGAGGATACAACAACGACAATAACAACGACAACAACAGACAGAGTTAATAAAAAAAAGCGTGTAATCAGACTCGCCCTTGAACTCCGATTCTCTGTGTCACGAAAGTGAAACCATTCCACTCCCATGCTGTCCGCATAGTTAACGAGCCAGAGGGTGGTCCGTATGTCTTGTGACCCCTACATTGAATTCTCTAGAAGGTAAACTATCTTTATTTACATAAGGTTGATTTAAAACATAAATGAACATGCAAAGGAACTTTTTTTAAGGGGTCAATTAATTGGGGTTCACGGGACATGTGGACCACCCTGTTGTACAGGAGTTGCTCACGAAGGTAATTTTGTTATTAGCTACATCAATATTCAAACACATATAAATCTTCATCCTCAACTGCATAACCATCGTCGTGCTCACAAATCGTAGTGGCATTATTATCAGCAGCAGCCGCAGCATGATGATTTGTACGGTTGGCTACGTACGGTGCAATAGAAGTTCGACATCATAGTACATTTCATTACCATCATCAACATCAACTTCATGAATATCCTGGTCATCATCAGGAACATCAGCATCATCAGCATCATCATTGATTTCATTACTATTGTAAAGACAGTGCAGAGCATAGCGGGACAGTATGGTTCCCCCGGACCATAGTTACTAATTGACGTGCTAATGATGATTGATGGGACGAGCGTTGACAGGGTCACGTGAGGGGGAGCACGGGATCCAATGGCAGGAAAGTGTAATTAGGGCGGTGATTGACAAGAGCAGGTGTGGCGAGGAGAATTCGGGAATAAGGGCGTGGCCGGACCGGGCGAGGATGAGAACCAACACCAGCCGGAGCTGTGGGCTGTTTGGTGTGGGAAACCATCGTCGTCGTCGCCTTGGATCGGGTCGTCTCCATCGTCTGCGAGTTGTCTTGAGACTAGAAGCTATGTGGTCTCTGAATAGAGTTGTTTCATTACCCAAGTGTACAGAGTCACTCGCGGTTACTTGTTGAGTTGTCAGTGGACTTTATTCATAATAAATATACAGAAGACAAGACGGCGTCTCTGAGAGCTACATTACACTATCATAACATAAATTTCTATATTATGAACATTGGCAGCGTTAGCGATAAGGGAAATAAGAGGGTGGAAGCAGTGGGGGGGATTGGCGGGAGTGGTGATGGGAGATGGAATAATTCCCCCTTCACCCCACACTTAGCCCCCCCTCCCTTTTCCTCCCCCCCTCCCTCCTCCTCCCTCTCCTCAAGGCCTCCCCCACGAGGCTGGTAATGGGTGAGTGATAATTGAAGGTGTGACGCTCAGGGATTATGAGTATCGCGAACCAATTAGGAGTTAATTGGTTTGTGTTAGAATACAATATGGGCTATATTTATATCTGTGTGTGTATTTATCGGTGTGTGTGTGTCAGTGTGTATTATAAGGACAGTAAGGAGTCGAGTGGTCTTAAATAATAATTTAAGCAACAGGGACAGGAAGGGTCAAATGAAGCGAGAGAGAGTTTGGGAAAAGGGGCATGGCTGAGTCGAGGGGCGTGGCTGAGCCGGAGGGGGAGATAAAAGGCAGCACGGAGCGGGGCTCAGGGCTGCTGTGGGGATTCAAAGTTGGACTGTCGTCGTTGTCGTCATCTTGGAGTGGATCGTCCTCACTGTCTAGGAGCGGGTCGCCTTATCATCTTGGAAGACATACGGGGAGATCTTATACCGTCGCCATAGCTGCTACTCCATCGGCTCCTATATAGTCAGCCAGCTTTATAGGTGAACGTCGTGTCTCAGTTAGATATAGTTACCCACTGTACATAGTCGACTCGTGTCTACCCATTAACATATCATCGAGTCGGGCGGACTGTAATAGACAATATATATAAACATACTTGAACAAGACAGTGTCTCTGGGTGCTACATTACAGTGGTGTCAGAAGTGGCCATTATAAAATGCCGAAGAGAGGGAAGCGCGGGAACCCACCTGTAGCATCTTCAGAGGAGGAGGAAGAGGACGACCAAAGTGATCCCCCAAGCAGCCCCGGGAACCGGGGTCCCGGTGACAAACCCCGCGGGCGC